AACAGGGACGACCCCAGGACTGACCGTCCACAGAAGGGAAGTCCCTTGTCCAGATATCCAATGACAGCCAACTGAGCTATTACACGTTAAATCATGTGAAATTGTGTTTGCCTGGTTCGGGGAATGGAATGAGGAATTAACCTAATAGAAACCATGAAAACCATGCACTTCCACGTCTCTTCAATCAAGACCAGCCCTGCACAGAATTCTGTGAGTTGTGATTCTAGCAATATTCAGACTTCCCTTCCAAATTATCTGCGAGAACACTGCCCACCAGAAAACAACAATCTCCCTGGTCGAACACCAGGAAACTCGTAACCGGGCTGCAGGCGTGAGCGATGCGTTAGGGCCTCCCCGCACGGCAGGGGCACCCGGGGCCCTTCCCATCCAAGGTTCCCACGAGACCGAGACGGCGGGCTGAGCGGACCATATTGGATTTTTTCAGTGGGGTCAAAAACAACACTCGCCTTGGCCTGGTCACCCTAGAAGAGTGGAGGGGAGGAACATGTTTGCAGGTGTATGCTGTATTAGTATGCGTCTTGGGGAAAAGTTTTTGTCTGCTCACCAGGATGTAAGCTCTTATATTATTACCTCCACAAAGTATGATTTTCGTTCATGTTTAACCCCCATTAATTGATGGGCAGCTTTTTACATCATGGTATTGTGACATCTTCTATAACTCAAATTTAAGAATAACAGTCTTTATTGGAGAGATACCGGAAGCTCAGACGATGCCTCCTGGAGCCATCTATGGTTTCCATGTCTACCGCTCAGAGCCATTGTCCCCTCGCAGTCAACTTACACCATGCAAAGGGCGAGTTTTGTTGTCTGCTGCATCGATCGGGGGCCTTCCCCCCTCACCGGCCACGTCAGAAGCAGCACATTTTACCTTAGGCTCGTTTGTTAAAGTGTTACCAGCAGCATCTGAAATCCAACCTTTCTGAATCAAAAACAGATCCACAGAATTGGAATTTCATGATATATGAAATCTTCTTGAGCGAATTGGCTTCCTAATGATTACAAAATTAAGTGTAAATTATTTTCAAGTACAGAAAGGTAAGAAAAAGCAAAGAATCCTCATAATATAAAACGAGACCCCAAACGCTGCAGTGCAAAGGCAGGCGTGCTTGCTGGAGGCCGGCCCGCCTGCAGGACAACAGAACTCCCCGCGGCTGGCCTCACGCGCAGTGGCCGGCGCAGCCAGGGGGCCGCGGCCGGTGTGCTCGTGTTTCCGCCGCGTTCTCATTGCTCAATCTTGAGATTGTTTTCACAGACAAGAGTGCACAGAGAAAGCACACAACAGGAGGACTTACACAAACACAGGAGCACTACAGAAAGCTTAGCGAAAGGAGGCACGGGCCACCCAACGGAACAGACGACAGAGCTACACGGGGTCATGACATGCGGGCCCGGGAGTCCCGGCAGCAGTACCTTCAGCACGGCCGAGGCCGTTCTCATCGGGGATGCGCTCAATCAGAGTCTCAATGGACTCATCCCAGATGGGCCTCGTGTCAAAGATGTCCTCGGGCACTGAGTGCTCGGTCTCAACAGGTGGCAGGTTCTCAATCACCGAGACTTCCAGGGCACTACTGCTCTCGTCGTCTGAGGCTGCCTCCTGCTCCCTCTCTGACTGGGTGAGCCTGTCCACTAACTTGGACGCCTCATCGCTAATCTCCTCAAAGAATTCTATGGAGTCCCTGTAAAGGTCAAAGAAGTGCTCCCTGCTTTCCCGGGTGGGGCTCGGGGGCCCCCTGCAGGAAGACGGGCCCCCCCTGCTCTTCACTGGCAGGCGGGAGGCAAATGGCTTGGGTCTCGCGGCCGCTTGCTCGGATTCAAGCGGGAGCTCCTCTGCCCCCTCCCCATTTTCTGCTTCTGGCTCAGCACAGCTTCGAGGTTTCGCTGCACATCTGGTCTTTGAGTCCAAAGGACTGGCATCGGACTCAGACTTGCTTCGGTCACCTGCTGCTCTGCCTGGCACATCCTGTCCCCGGGGAGCCCCTGTCTTCTGCAGGGATGAGTCCATACGCAAAGGCTGCTGCCCGGTTCCTTGGAGGGACGTTTTCACGGGGATCTTAGACTTTGGCTTCATCTCCTGCTCCCTCCTGTCCTCATCTGGGCTGGGCAGCAGACTCTCCTCCTCCGGGGCCGGGGTGGGGGTGGCGGGGGTCCTGGTCCTGACCTGGGCCTCAGACTTGCTCTCGGAAGGAGGTGCGCTCTCCGAGAGCGCGGTGGGGATCTCAATGACTGATTTCTGTTCCTCTGGGGTAGAGCCAGGAGAATTGTCATCCTGATCTGAATATACGGACCTAGTGACGGAGCAGAAGTCCAGCTGAACCTGGACGGCAGGTTCAGGGCTGGGGGGGCTGGCCGTCTGCCTCACGCTGGATGCAGGAGGCACGGTGCCCCTGTGCGTCGGGGGCACGTCCTCGGTGCCCACGGAAGCAGCCTCTGCTCCAGCCATGTCCACAGAGGCCGGGAGCCCTGCCTGGGAGCAAAGGTGACCTTCTGAAGCTGGGGTTCCCCCTCCTTCCTCACTCAGGTCATCGGGGAGCACGTTGGCCTCGCCTGCGTCTTTTGGTTCTGAGCGTGCCAGTGTCTGAGCCGGTGTCTCCGGCCCTGAGGCCTCAGCAGCAGCACCCCCTCCAGTCACGGCCTCAGAGATGGTCTCTTCCCCGGATTCTTGCCCAATTTGGAAAAAGTGAAAACTCTCATCTGCATAGGACCTTTTGGTCATATCGATGGCACCGCTTCGGGTCATCTCGAACAACTTGCCCTCCTGGAAGAGAAACGGGTTCTGCTCACTGGTCGGGGTCCCCTCTTCGGTGGGGGTTCGAGCAGGAGTGGTGTCCGGGGTGGTGCCCTGCGACCGTCTGTCCGCCATCAAACCAAACACCTTCTGTTCCTCCTCCTTCACACGGGCCTCAAAGGCCGCGTCGTCCTCGCGGATCTCGCTCCAGGAGCCGGGACCCGCCTCGGCGG